GTCTGTCTTATTTTATAATATGGATTATAGACATAAATTTAGATTTATGCTACATGATTTATATAATAACTTTAGACACAAGTTATTACTGGCTTAAAGATAGATCATATCTTTTGAAGTATAACTTGGTTCTATAATAAGATACAAGTTAATCTTAACATTTTATAATTTTTAATACGATACACCGATAATCGTTCTCACTTAAATATAAACCTCTCTCTTTATAATTTAAGCAATGTTATCAAAACATTAAATGACCTAATTTATTATGACTTTTGAATTGATTATAAATTTTATTAAATATTAAAATTTAATGTTAATCAAATAATTTCAATAAAATTATATTTTTATGTCAACAAATTAAATAAAATATTTAGATCCAAATAACATTAATCTTGGTACGATCCCAGCCATAATTGTTCTCTCTTAAAAACATAAACTTCTCGATAAGTTAGCCAATACAAGCAAAGAATTTAAGCCGTGAGAATAACTTTGATCTGAATGAACTTGGTTGAGCCCTAGATTGCTCCTATGGCAAAACCTTATTGGCTCCTTAAGATGCCAAGACTCCAAACCACACTGCTTTGCTGAATTTTACAGCCAAAGCACGAAGAAGACATCAACAAAGCGTCCACCTGAAGCAGCAAACTCTCTCTCTCTGTCTCTCTCTCTACATGGATTGCTTCTTCAACGCTCCATTGGTCCAAAGGTGAGCAAGATCCAGTCCAGAGACAGAATAAAATCCCAAAAAATAAATCACTTCGTGATTCTCACGTCCCATCCCGAATTGCCCACGCATTAATATTGCTTCCATTCAACTCCACCCTCCATCCCTTATTAATTCGTATATTTTCTTTGTTAATTTCCCTCCTACCAAACACCCTTGTCGACATTGAAGTTGAACCCCATCTTTGTTTTCTTTCTTTAATCCCATTCCAAATCTCGAATACTAATTCTTTAATCAAAATCTTTCCAAAACAAGACGAAACCCATTTGTCAATTCATAGCCATGACAGAGGTCCTCCACTCACCCTCGTCCTCTTCCTCCACTTCTTCCTCCTTTTCACCCACCACCCACAATGACGCATTGTTCCAAAGGCAGTCTTTTGTAGAAGAAGAAGAAGAGGAGGACGGAATTTCTAGGGGGACAGAAGGTGACAGAAAGGAGAAAGAAAAAGAAAGGGATCAGTTGTCTTTGTTGGCACTGTTGGTGACTCTCTTTAGGAAGTCTTTCTGGGTTGCTTGCAAGACTGATAGCGAAGAGCTTTGTGGTGGTGGTGGTATGGAGATTGGGTGGCCCTCTAATGTGCGCCATGTTGCGCATGTTACTTTTGATAGGTTTAATGGGTTCTTGGGTTTGCCTGTGGAGTTTGAGCTTGAAGTGTCCAGGAGGGCCCCTAGTGCAAGGTACATTGAATCTTGATTGGTTTTTATTCTTGAAAAGAAAACCTTAATGTGGGTTTTCTGTTTTTGGTTCTTTGTTAAGTTCCCTGTTTTTTGAATTTTTAATTTTGGGGAATTTGGGTAATAGGTGGGAGATTTGAAATGGGATATGTTTTGGTGATCTATTGGTTTGTCCATGTATGTAGTTGTGGGTTCGTTTAATTTAATCTGTTTTCAAGCTCTTTTAATGGCGCTGTTGAATGTCATTCTGCTTGGCATTCATATGTTCTGGGATTCTTGGAATCTTGGATTTTGCCGAAATATTTTGTTGGTACCTCATTTTTATGAGAATTTGGATAACTGCTCATGAGTAGTCTTGATTGAAGTGTATATTTTGAAGATGGGTTTTTCTTTTCCTGGAACTATTAATTTTTTAAGTTTAATTGGTAAATTTTTGTTATGTTAGTATTGGAGAATGCAAGTTATATATAAATTCTGGGAGAACTTAATGAGATCTGATTACTCTGGCATCAAACATCTGAGGGACTGAAAGAGTTTTATTAATTTGCAACTCTGCTGTGAAGGGATCAACTTGATTTCTTGTTTGATTTATTGGTCATTGCCCGAAATTGGGTTCATTTCTCTTCTCCTATATTCTATCGTCAATTGGGTTGTGGTCTGCTTCAAAGTTGGGAAACATGCGATTCACCCACATAGGAAAAGGTAGATTTGGATACTGAAATACTTGATGCATTTAAGGCATAAGTCAACAGTAAAGGTATGTAAATTTCTGTAATCGTATTCACTGTTGGGGAAGAGACGCAACAAACAATAAATCATATGAAGTGGTTAGCAGTCAAGAACTGCAGAATTTTCAAAATGTACATATCTCTGAATGCAAAGCCAGAAGCATTAGCACTTAAGTATTCAATATCTCTCACATGCATTCGTATTTTTAATAATTGTGTAATGTTAATTTCCTTGTTGGTGATGCATTTAGAAACAAGCAGCTTCGGAGTCTAAGCACAATAAAAAAGGAAAAAGAACTTTTTTATTTGTTGCAAAACAAGCCCCAACAGCTCAATAAACTTATGGAAGACAAAGAAGGCAACAAGTTTTTTTTAAATCATAACAAGCCCAAAGAGTAAAATTTTACAAACAACTCCTTTTTGTAAATCAACACTTCAACCTTTTCAGAACTAGCATCGTGCAATTATCCTGCATCTTCTGATTAAAATTTTTACATGCTTTTATGGTGTATATGTTGTTTGTACGTATGTTATATTTCCATGTGATTTGTGTATTCTAATTATAACATGCATATATTTGGGAATAAATTATGTGTGTCATGACATGCATGTTTTGACAAATTGCTCTGGGTAACATTTTTTTCCTTCCTTTAGTTGTGCCCAACAAGTTGTTTTGATTTTGGAATCTTTGTTCGTTATTTATCCATTGTATAGTCCATGTGTACTTTAGTTGCCACCCCCTTCTTGGTCCCCTTCTTCATTCCTTCTTTCACATATCCATAAGGGGACAAAAGAATAGAGACAAGAATAGATATCATCCCTGATTCATATTATGTGATATAAATATGATTCCCCCTGCTGCTTTCAGTAGCCTTGAGCAGTGGTGCCTTGGTCTTGCTCCATGAAATTTGATTTGTACGTCCATATAGCAAGAAATAATGTGGTGTTATTGCTTCAGAAATCAACAAGAAGATTAGAAAAATATAATTGACATCATGCAAAAAGTGGTTTGAACTTTGACGAGTATGTTTAATTCTGACTGCGCATAGACTTTAAAGAATATTGACGTAAACATCTGTAGATTTCACGCATCTGGGACTCTAACTGATACTACTGGATCTTGTTTCCACCCTCCACTATGGGTACTTGAGTCTGAAAGATTGAAGGATCTAAGAAAACTAAAATTAAAGGGCCATCGGAGATGAGAAGAAATAAAAGAGAAAGGAGCTTCAACATTGACATGTAGAGTACCTGATTTTTGTTGACAACATAAATGGTATCGTGCTGTTGAAGATAACAAATTGAGTAATATGCACATAGTTCAGGTTCTCGAACCAGTCTATTCTTGGGAGAATGATCTCACACCTATTTTATTTCTCGCCATTTGTTCTTCAGTTCTTGCATAGTTTGAGAACCAAGTTCATCAAATGTCAATTACTCTTGCTAGTTGTTAGGGAAATTCCAACAAATTAAGGATATACCTCCGCTTCAATCAGTTCTGGTGCTATGTCAAGCCTCTTATATAGAATAGTTTTCATTTCCTTGACTCTCATGCAACTTAATGCCAGATATCCAATACAAGTAGCATAGCAGTTCACACCAGATCCACATACTTTAATACATGTTGCTTCTGCATTTGTTGATTGTATAGCATTTAGTTCTCTATATATCAGGCCGTGCTACCATTGGTGTGTGGAGTATATATCTCATTTATGCCTCTCTTTGTAGAGGAGAAAGAACCGAACTGAACTCTATGTTGCTACATTTTGTAAGAGTACAAAATATCCTTTTAGATGCATGGAAGGAATATTATGCTACATCTAGTAGGATCCCATTGACTGGAGTTAAGTTATTTGGATCCATTGTTACTTCATATGGTTTTGCCCTTGAAAAGTGTGATAGACACTAATGGCGTTCAAATACTGATAGCCTAATAGCTGGACTGAGGTTTAGGATCATGAAGCAGTGAGAACTGTATCTCCCGAGAAATAATAGTTTAGTTGTGTTTTTGGTTGCTGAGACTAAGGATGAGAAGAACAAAACATATTGAAACTTGAAGTAGTCATTATGTCTGCAAAAGACTTATTTTCAATTCCACCCACTCTATTTGCAAACGTAACAAATTGTACTACTTCAACCTAATTGTACTGGTCTGTTTATTGGCAACATTGGGACGTTTGCAAGCCAAGTTTTAAAGAACTTCCGTGATATTGCAAATTTTCAGTCTCATTGTATGTTAAAGTTAAAGGATGAAGTCTAAGTGTTTTTTCCTTTTTTTCTCATTTTTTTTTTGTCCTAGGGGGCCGGAGGGTTATCTCTAGAAAGGGTCTTTATTTGTTCTCAATTTGATTGGAGACACTGCAGATTTTACTAGAGATATATTTCTATTTCTTAGATTCCTAGGACAACCAATCTAGAGGATGACTTCTTAGCTAAAAGTGGTGCCTTTTCCTGAAATATTTTTTAGGAGATACATTGCCTACGTGGTTTTCTTCTGTGTTTGTTTTTTTTCTTCTCTTTTCTTTTTGGCTTTGTGCCCTTTTTGCTTCTCTATTGACCAAGTTTTTCATTTACCATTGAAAACTTGTAGGTTGGAAATTTGAGGGTGCGTTTGGTAACGTTCTTGTTTTTGTATTTTCGAAAAATCAAAAAATATAGACAATTATTATTTTGTTTTGTGGTAAACATTGAAAACAGAAAACATGTTTAGTAGTCGTTTATGTTTGCCAAATTATGAAAATAAAAACAAAAAATATGTTTGGTAACCATTTCAAATTATATCATAATTATTAGCTTTATAAAATGTCCTATTACAAAATACAAATCAAAATTCATAATTCATTAACTATAGCAAATAACTTAGATGAATATTCCAAAACACCACACTTTGCATACATCATAACCATAGATTCATTAGGGAACATACTACAGTTAACAACATAAGCATGAATTTCCTTCCCTTGCATTATTAAAGCCCTCAATTTTTCACACACTGGAACAACTGTGGCAACCGTGACAACATCAGTGTTGAAGCCTTCCTACTCCATCCAAACAATTTATCTCAAAACCTGCTCAAGCCTCCCATTTGAGGCATATCCCAACATCAAAGTAGTTCATTGGTTAATTGCAACTTCAATTTGGGGGTATAGGTTGTAGTGTTGGAATGATACCCAATGGCTTGTTCTGAGTTGGTGGCATTGCGGTTTTGTTGTCAAACATTTCGTCGATCAGGTGGAGGGCAATTGAACATTCATGAAAACACCTAACTCATACAGACACACAAACCCAACTCATACACACACAGACCCAACTCACAATCGCACACATACCCATGGACACAAACACCCAAGTCCTGTAAATATCTCTGTGTGTGTGTATATATATATATATATATATATATATACATATCTGGGCATAGTTTTTAAACCCCTCTGGAGATCAACCCGACAAAGAGACCGGATCATTGGTTCAACCGTTGGGTCACTGGTTCAACCAGTCATATAATTAATAATATAAATAATTAATAATAATAATAAATATTCTAAAATTATACAATAGTTACAAAAATAACATGTTTTATGTTATAGTAGATGAAATAGAATGACAAAAAATATGCTCAATCTTTAATTTGTTTGCACATATGTTTTATATAATTCGATAGAGTATAAAAAAATTAACTAATAAGTATTGAATATTTGGTATAAAGAATAGCAATGTGATGACCCCAAAAAAATAAAATACAAATTGAGAGAAAAAAAATAGCTCAAATATATACTAAAAGGTATTAAAAAAATACGAGAAGAATTAAGAAAATTTTTGATACACTACAGAACGTCCCACATCGGTAAACCACAAGAGGAGGTGAGGTCAACCAGCCTTATAAAAGAGCAACCCATTGCCCTTTTTGAAAGCTGACATTGGCTTGATGGCCTGTCATGTGCTCCTATAGCAAAGGGGAGCCAAGTGGACCGCCTCTTCACTCAGGTAGACCACATCTTTAGATATATTAGGATTGTAAATGGTCTAGTTTTCAACGGGTTTTGTTTGTAACGGGTTTATAAAATTGGTCAGTTCGGGCTGATTTAAACAATTTTTTAATGAGTGAATTGTTTAACCGATTTGATTAATGAACCAGCACAGTTCAGAGAGAGCTCCAATTCTCGTTATCGAACAGGTAGGGCTTCAAAAAGAGATATTCGTGTGAGACGGAGAAGAGAGCGGATCTTTTCTTCATGAGACCTCTGGCTCTTCAATTTCTTTGTGATGGATTCGATCTTCATTGCATAGACGGAGGCGAGAGAGGTGATGGAGAGAGAGGCAACGTTCTTTTGATATAGAGAGGGGAGAGACAGACTAAATTGTGTTTTTATACTTTCAAAAAAAAAGACCATTGTTTGTTGCTAAAAAAAATT